CCTGGCAGAATTAAAGAGATGTTTGAACAAATTCGAACTAAACTTCTTAGTGTTCCAAAATTTCTTCTTGGTCCTATACTTAGGAAGAAAACAATTATGGTATCCACAAACACCGGAAATAACAAGTCTACTACACTAAAGATCTTGAAAAAAGTTCTTTTCAAAGCAGCGGTCACTGATTTCAAAGTCTAGAAAGACCTTCTCGATAAATGATAAAAGGGAGTCCACATCAAAACAATGTGGTATCTCGTTACAATAAGGTGACAATGCTACGATTCACTTTTATGCAAAAGCAGGAGATTCGTTAGTGCACTACAATCCACCTATAGAAAGCAATAAGTAGTGCACGATAACTTACATGTATAAAGCAGCAAATAACTCAATCCAGAAGCTGCTACAACACGCCACCAAATCCACAACACTCATACAAGTGGATAGAAGGCGTGTTTAAACTCTCAAATGGAATGTTGCATGTCCCAATGGCAGTTGCCTGCATAACTAAATATTTGAAAACGCCCCCACACATGCACCTTAACCTGTATACACATAAGTACACAAAATGAGTATATACAATTATAAACCCGCATGGGCCCCGATGAGCGTATTGTGGGAACACATGTGATGTCTAGGGATGCTGCGTGGGTTAATAAATTTGAACCCGATCCTCCTCAACAGGTAAATAAGAGTCGACAAGGTTCAACAAATAATTATAAAATGCCCCCAAACACCCGCATGGGCCCCGACGAGCGTGTTATTGGTACACAAATGACATCTATGGATGCTACGTTGGTTAATAAGTGAATTTAAATTTGAACCCGATCCTTCTATGCAGATCAATAGGAGTTGACAGGGTTCAAACCATTAAACAAATTGACGGTTGTGGTGACCGGTATATTTATTTTAATACATTCATATTAGACCTTCAAGGCTTATAATAATGAGAATTCACTAACAATGACATAAAGCCTATGAAACACGATCCTTTGTCGATAACTCGACGGAGTCGACAAGGTTCATCTACAAAATGCAACTATTTTTCAAATGAAAATTGCCCACACCCCGATGATGGCTGCGTTGAATAGAAAATATCAACCGGAGGGGTTCACAAATACAAGTATTTTCAAGTGACGTCAAAGTCATCCCGATGATGACCGTGTTAAATGTTTATCTCAACTGGAGGGGTTCACAAATACTTTTAAATGCCACCTAAATGCCCAAAAATCCAAAATCCTAAATATCATGCTAATTCCAAATATTTAAAAATGAAATTCAATCATCAAAACACTTAAAACAAAATCTATTCACCCTCTGCAACAGTTTGTCGAGGTGGACAAATTGAAATGTATTTTGGCTCACAAAGAGCTAATGCCTAGTCAAAATTATCACTATGATTCATTCTCAAACAATCTTCTGTCAATAAGGACGTGATACGTGTCCTTTGACCGGCAATTTTGCCGCCAAATGACACCGCAGGATAAACAATTATGACCCGGGGCCCTCTGAACCGAGTGGTTTTGTCGTCAAATGACACCAGAAAATGCCGGTTATGGCCAGAGCCAATACATTCCTTAGTGACATTAAATCCTTGATATATTAATTAATATGATATGATCCATAGGGCACAAAACCCTCTGTTAGCTAATTGTCCCCTTAGACAAACATTCATCCCAGGTCTATAAGGTCCCCTTAGACGAAGAAACCCATGGCTGCTGACAATGATCCTTCTGTCAGGTTGGGTCGACACCTCTAACTAAGTAGACCAGGGACCATGATGGCCCGGGATGACGGAACCATGGGATCTTGATCGGGTCTATCATCCATTCCCCCACAATCCGCTTTAAGTGCAAGATGGTGCAATTTTCAATTTTAAATATCAAATCTTCAAATCCTCCAATCCTTAAAATTCTCAAATTCTCCAACCATTCCAAATACCCATGCTGTTACTATATGCCTGATACTACGTATCTATAGATACAATGTATCTGATTGATGACTAGCCTTAATCGAAAGTTCTCTCTCGTTATCGGGAGGGGTAATGAACTATAGGGGCTTGCACCTATAGGAAACCAGACTCAGATCATAAAGTCCTTGCAAAATGAGGGTTAAATCTCTTGGTAGTGTCTTATCTATAAATCCATCTGCCTTCCCAAAATTTACCACGGAACTAATTCATTAAAACTCCCCCGAAAAAAGAAAATACACAGCGGGCGGAGGCCGGGGCCGAATTTTTGGAGCCCTCAAAGGTACCCTTGGACGAAGCAACCTATGGCTGCCGATAAGAATCCTTCTATCAAGATGGGTTGACTACCTCCACTAACTAAATAGACTAGGGACCACGATGGCCCGGGACGATGGAACCATGGGATCTTGATCGAGTCCATCATCCATTCTTCCAACATCCGCTTTATGTGCAAGATGGTGAAATTTCTTTTTTAAATATCCAATTCCCAAATTCTTATGCTCATACTGCTACTATACACCTGATACTACATATTTATGAATACAATGTATCTGATTGATGCTAGCCTTAACGAAAGTTCTCTCTCGCTATCGGGAGGGGTAATTAATTATAAGGGCTTGCGCCTATAGGAAACCTGAACTCAGATCATAAAGTCCTCGCAAAATTAGGGCAAAATCTCTGGGTAGTGTCTTATCT